GTAAAAAACTATTTAATTTTAAAGTAAATTAGTGTGCAATATTAATTAATTATTCTATAATATTAACATAGAAATTTTCATTTTAAAAAGTTATTATATAATATTTACTAAATTACTATTAAATAAAAGAGAAATTTCCCAAACAAATAAAGGAGTCTCGTGCTGTCTTAAACAAAAAGATGACCGTTCCCGTTTTAAATACGAGTCCAACTAAATCCTGAATAAAGAAGGAGCGCTGTTTGGAAGCCGGATCATTCCATACGACGTCGTTATTTATTTACTAAACACAAGAACAACACGACGTCGTTGACAGTTGCTGCCTTCGGTAAAACCCGGCTCATCCCTGAAAAAAAGCTGCTAATACTTTCAGTCACTGCGTAGCTAGTAAGCGAACAAAAGACCAGTTCTAAAGCAAAAAAATTTCAATTAGCTTCCACTGGGATGACAATGGCGGAGCCAAAAACCAAGTACGATCGACAACTCAGGTACTGATTATTGCTATCTATCTCTTCCCCAACTCGTAACCCGAAAATACTGTTTATCTTCTTCTTTCATCTTTTCCTCTTGCCCTAAGTTCTTCCCTGATATCATCCTCCTTAGACCAGCTAACAACCTCCCGCTGGTTTCCTGTTTCTTTGTCATTGTTTGAATGGAAATGATCAAGAAAGAGTAGAGTTGTTAGGTTATTTCGTGTGCGCATTGGCTATCTGGCTCTCCGCTAGGAACGAATAACATGCTTGCTTCTCGTAACTGTAAAATACGTCTATTGTTGAAATTAAAATTCGTGCTCGTAACTGTAAAATACGTCTATTGTTGAAATTAAAATTCGTGCGGGAAATTGCAGGATCTGGGGTGACCAAGGGCAAGCTGCGCTCGAGAAAGCGAGCATTTGCTTGCTTAATTGTGGTCCTACTGGTTCGGAGACGCTGAAAAATCTCGTGCTTGGTGGAATTGGGAGCATTACAGTAATCGACGGATCCAAAGTTGAACTTGGAGACCTTGGAAATAATTTTATGGGTATGTTTCTCTTCATTTTTGTTTTTGCTCGACTTATTTGCTTACCTTACTTATGGTGTTGGCAGTGGACGATTCCAGCATTGGGCAGTCAAAGGCCAAGTGTGTATGCGCGTTCCTTCAAGAGCTAAATGATGCCGTTAAAGCCAAGTTTATTGAGGAATTTCCAGAAACATTGATCGCTTCTAATCCCTCATTCTTTTCTCAGTTTACGCTCGTTGTTGCTACACAGGTTTGAAAACAATGTATATATGCTTTCAGGATTATTAATAAATTTTTCCATGGTCATTTTTTTTATTTGTCTCAGGTTGGAACTTCTCCAAATTGTTTTAACCGTAACCAAGTTGATTGAAGTTCAAAGTTCCTACTCTCTAGGTCAATGTGCTATAGTTTTTTTGTTAGGTCTGACATGCTGGTGCCTGAGAGTTATAGTATAGACACAATTTTTAGGACCTTTTTTTTAAAATAAAAGTGTGAATTGTATTAATTACATACACCAAGGATGTGCAAGAGTCCATGTACAGAGAATTTACAAATCACTAAACATATCAATTAGTTCACCTAAGTTCTCTAGGAATACAAATTTTGTTTCAAAATCTACATGCCAAGAGATTGGAACCATCTATCTCTAATCTTCTAGATGCTTACCTCCATGCCTTCAAAAACTCTCCTACTTCTTTCCTTCCAAATCACCACCCAGATAATTGTCATTGGAATAAGACCCAAAACCTTCTTCATTTTCGCTATACTCTTCCATGCCCATATTTCTCCCTTTACAGTGCCTGCCCTGACCTATTTATAGCCCAGAAGCCTAAAACCTGTAGACCTCAAGCTATATGCAATGGAACAGCAAGGGAGAACTGTAGAAAATATAATAATTAGAAGAATAAATTAGGATTAAAAATAGTTATTTACAATTGTTATGTGCTGTAAATGGATGAACCATTTACAACTGTTATGTGCTGTAAATGGAGGGAATCACCAACAAATTTCTTACAACAAATTTGTCCTTAGAAACATAATTTTGTTAGGTTTCTCTCCAAAATTTGTTAGGTTGTTAGGGTAGTAGACTTGTATATATATGTGTGGAAATCATTCATCAAAAGAATGAAAGAATATTTTCTCTCAATTTTCTTCATGGTATCAGAGCCATACCTGATCCAAAAAGAAATTGATATCAAACCCTGCTGAGCCGTAATAAAAATGGCCTCGGGTGAGCTTCCTTCCTCTCCACCAGAAGTTTCCTCTGGTTCTTATCATCACACAGTAACAATCAGATCTGTGAGTGGACTACCATCATCCTGTATCACAGGACATAAACTCGATGGCAGTAACTTCCTTCAATGGTCGTCGTCTGTTCGTCTCTTCATCCACGGAAGGGGGCGTTATGGGCACCTCACTGGCGAGCTCATGCCTCCTCCAGCGTCCGCTGCAAATGCACAAACCTGAGAGATTGAAGACAGTATGGTCATGTCCTGGCTCATTACCTCAATGACTCCTGAAATCGGAGAGAATTTCCTTCTCTACGAAACTGCTCATGATATTTGGAAGGCAGCATAGGAACTCTACTCCAACAAGCAAAATACCTCTGCAATATTCGAAATCGAGTCAACTCTTCATGACTTTCGACAAGGAGAACTCAGTGTCACCTAGTATTACAGTATCCTTAGTCGAAATTGGCAGCAGATGGACACCTTCGAAGAGCGTCACTGGAACTGCCCCGAGGATGCGAAAAACTTCAAAGTTTTTGTGGAAGAAAAGCGAGTCTTCAAATTCCTGCTAGGGCTAAACAAAAATCTCGACACGATTCGGGGACGTGTTCTGAGCACTAAACCCTTACCGAGTCTTCGAGAAGTTTTTTCTGAGGCTCGACGCAAGGAGAGCCATCGAAAGAACATGATGGGAGAGAATGACCAACCTCACAAGACTGAAAATTCTTCAGCTCTCACAACCCGAGCGATTGACAATCGAACGAAGAAGACAAGGCCCTGGTGCGACCACTGTCGAAAGTTAGGGCACACTCGGGAACGTTGCTGGAAGCTTCACGGCAAGCCAAGTGACTGGAAACCACCTTTGGGTGAGTGAAAAATGTCGAAAGCAGAGACCTCCAGCAAACTTCGAGGAAATCACGTGACGGCTGAGGAAGTAATTTTTGATGAGATGGGAAAAGACCCATTTACCCATGAACAATTGGAAGCCCTCCAATAAATCTTGTCCAAGAAATCTCACCCGGTCAGTGCCTCTGTGACACACAAAGGTAATATTCATGGTTTATATGCTCTTTTAGAAAAAGGACAGGTGCGGGTGGTAGACTATGGAGCATCTGATCATATGAGTAGCGATTTCTCAATGTTCCAAAATTACAGAAGATGTGAAGAAAATATTTCAATCAGAATTGCAGATGGTTCTCTCTCAAAAGTGGCAGGAATGGGCTCTGTAAATTTGTCTCCAAATTTGACTCTCTGTTCAGTTCTTCATGTTCCGAATTTGGATTGTAATTTATTGTCTGTCAGCAAGCTATGTGAAGATTTGAAATGTGCTGCGAAATTTGTTTTTAATATGTGTAATTTTCAGGATTTGGACTCGGGGAGGACGATTGGCAGTGCTAAGATGAGCTCGGGATTATATTTGCTTCAAGTCAACACCTCTAAAAGACAAGCTCACAATGCAGTATGTGAAACATCTGTTCCTATTTCAAAAAATAATGATCATGATATTATGTTGTGGCACTATAGATTAGGACATCCAAATTTTATGTACTTAAAAAGGATGTTTCCACTACTATTTAAAAGAAAAGATCCAGTTTCATTACAGTGTGAAGTTTGCCAATTTTCTAAACATGCTACCATCCAAGTATTAAAATCCGACAATGCTTGTGAATATTTTGAAAATACTCTTGAAAAATACTTTACTAAACATGACATTATTCGTCAAATCTCCTACGTTCATACTCCACAGCAAAACGGTATAGCCGAAAGAAAAAACAGACATATTCTTGAGGTTGCTAGATCTCTCATGTTCACCACACATGTACCAAAATATCTTTGGGGAGAGGCTGTCCTTACAGCTACCTATTTGATTAATCGGATGTCCTCCCGTACTCTACAGTTTCAATGATCATATACTATCCTCTCAAAAATCTTTCATGATTCTCACATCTTGAACACTTTGCCACTTAAAGTATTTGGGTGTTTAGTATATGTCCACATTCATAAACATTTTCGTAGAAAATTAGACCCAAGAGCAATAAAGTATATTTTTGTTGGGTACTCAGCAAATAAAAAAGGATACAAATATCTAGTTCCAGAAACCCGCCGATTTTATAATACCATGGACGTCACCTTTTTTGAGAATCAACCATTTTATCCCACCACTGATATTCAGGGGGAGACATTCACTCAGGAATATCAGTTGTGGGATGTGTGTGTATCACCTCTCTACCTACAAAATCCATCACCAGACAAACCTTTCTTGGAGATTGAACCCGAAACCTCACAAAAGAAATCAGAATCTAAACCTGTTATAGAAAGCACATTACCTGCAACGAGTGAGTTACGTGTCTATACAAGAAGAAACAAAGGAAAAGCTCCCGAATCATCCTAGCACTGCCATGAATTCCCCACTGATACAAGTAACGTAATCTCTGTACTAACTCTTGATTCTGTTGATTCTAATATTCCTATTGCTTTGAGGAAGGACATTCGAACATGCACCAAACATCCTATACAGGACTATGTTTCATTGGACAAATTATCCTCGGAGCATCATGCTTTTGTGAGCAGGATAGACAGCAGTTCACCTGAACCCAGAACAATACATGAGGCCTTGAAAATTTCAAAATGGAAGTTAGCTGTCCTACGTGAGATCAGGACACTTAAAAAGAATGAGACATGAGAACTAACTGATCTTCCTCCAGGAAAGCGTCAAGTGGGATGCAAATGAGTTTTTACAACCAAATATAATCCAGATGGGAGTGTGACAGGCTTAAGGCCCGCTTGGTAGCCAAAGGCTATACACAATCATATGGTATAGATTATTAGGAGACGCTTGCACCAGTTGCACAATACTATTCGAGTACTCCTCTCACTTGCATCTAACCTTGACTGACCACTGTACTAAACATGACATTATTCATCAAATCTCCTACGTTCATACTCCACAGCAAAACGGTATAGCCGAAAGAAAAAACAGACATATTCTTGAGGTTACTAGATCTCTCATGTTCACCACACATGTACCAAAATATCTTTGGGGAGAGGCTGTCCTTACAGCTACTTATTTGATTAATCGGATGTCCTCCCGTACTCTACAGTTTCAATGATCATATACTATCCTCTCAAAAATCTTTCATGATTCTCACATCTTGAACACTTTGCCACTTAAAGTATTTGGGTGTTTAGTATATGTCCACATTCATAAACATTTCCGTAGAAAATTAGATCCAAGAGCAATAAAGTGTATTTTTGTTGGGTACTCAGCAAATAAAAAAGGATACAAATATCTAGTTTCAGAAACCCGCCGATTTTATAATACCATGGACGTCACCTTTTTTGAGAATCAACAATTTTATCCCACCACTGATATTCAAGGGGAGACATTCACTCAGGAATATCAGTTGTGGGATGTGTGTGTATCACCTCTCTACCCACAAAATCCATCACCAGACAAACCTTTCTTGGAGATTGAACCCGAAACCTCACAAAAGAAATCAGAATCTAAACCTGTTATAGAAAGCATATTACCTGCAACGAGTGAGTTACGTGTCTATACAAGAAGAAACAAAGGAAAAGCACCCGAATCATCCTAGCACTGCCATGAATTCCCCACTGATCCAGGTAACGTAATCTCTGTACTAACTCTTGATTCTGATATTCCTATTGCTTTGAGGAAGGGCACTCGAACATGCACCAAACATCCTATACAGGACTATGTTTCATTGGACAAATTATCCTCGGAGCATCATGCTTTTGTGAGCAGGATAGACAGCAGTTCACCTGAACCCAGAACAATACATGAGGCCTTGGAAATTCCAGAATGGAAGTTAGCTGTCCTACATGAGATCAGGACACTTAAAAAGAATGAGACATGAGAACTAACTGATCTTCCTCCAGGAAAGCGTCAAGTGGGATGCAAATGAGTTTTTACAATCAAATATAATCCAGATGGGAGTGTGAACAGGCTTAAGGCCCGCTTGGTAGCCAAAGGCTATACACAATCATATGGTATAGATTATCAGGAGACGCTTGCACCAGTTGCACAATACTATTCAAGTACTCCTCTCACTTGCATCTAACCTTGACTGACCACTGTATCAATTAGATGTAAAGAATGCATTCCTTAATGGCGATTTGGAAGAAGAAGTGTATATGAATATACCACTAAGGTTCGAATTAACTGACAACTCTAAAAAAGTGTATAAATTAAAGAAATCACTCTATGACCTAAAACAATCTCCAAAATCATGGTTTGACAGATTCACAAGAGCTGTAAAACATAAAAGATATGAACAATGTCAATCCGACCATACATTGTTCGTCAAACATTGCATATCAGGTAAAAAGGCTATTTTGATTGTATATGTTGATGATATCATTCTTACAGGAGATCACCTTGATGAGATTTAAAAACTTAAAGAATTTCTGTCCAAAGAATTTGAAATAAAAGATCTTGGAGCATTAAAGTACTTACTCGGTATGGAAGTAGCTAGATAAAAAAAAAAGATCTCAGTTTCTCAACGAAAGTACATTTTGGATCTCCTAAAAGAGACTGAGATGCTAGGAAGCAAGCCTACTGACACCCCTATGGACTCAGTCATCAAATTTGGATCCAGAATCAGTAATAAAATGGTTGACAAAGGGAGATACTAAAGACTTGTTGGAAAACTTATTTACTTGGCTCACACAAGACTAGACATCAGTTTTGCAATAAGTACAGTAAGTCAGTTCATGCATCAGCCAACAGAAGATCACATGAGTGCTGTGTATCGGATTCTGAGGTATCTCAAGAAAACTCCAGGATAAGTTTATTCTTTTCAAAAACAGACAGAAGAGGTGTTGAAATTTACACGAATGCGGATTGTGCAGGTTCTACAAACGACAGGAGATCTACATCAGGATATTGTACGTATGTTTGGGGTAACCTAGTTACCTGGAGAAGCAAGAAACAGTCTGTTGTGTCTCGCAGCAGTACAGAATCTGAATTTAGAGCGCTTGCTCATGGTATTTGTGAAGGTGTATGGTTGAAGAGAATACTTAAAAAATTAAAAGTTCTCAACAATATGCCTATGAAAGTATGGTGCGACAACCAATCAACAATTAGTATGGCCAAAAATCCAGTACATCACGATAAAACTAAATATGTGGAGATTGATCGTCATTTCATTAGAGAAAAATTGGAAGATGGGACTATAACTCTGATGAATATTTCAACCAATCAACAGATCGCAGATATTATAATTAAAGCTCTTCCTAAGAGAACCTTTGATGACATAATATCCAATCTAGATTTACTCAACATATACGTAAACTAGATTGAGGGGGAGTGTAGAAAATATAATAATTAGGAGAATAAATTAGGATTAAAAATGGTTATTTACAGCTGTTATATGCTGTAAATGGGGGAACCATTTACAGCTGTTATGTGCTGTAAATGGAGGGAATCACCAACAAATTTGTTACAACAAATTTGTCCTTAGAAACAGAATTTTGTTAGGTTTCTTTCCAGAATTTATTAGGTTGTTAGGGTAGTAGACTTGTATATATATGTGTGGAAATCATTCATCAAAAGAATGAAAGAATATTTTATCTCAATTTTCTTCAAGAACTTGATCACAAGTTTCCTTTGCTCTCTTGCATAAACAACACCAATTCACCATGATCTTCTCCTTGCTCATAAGTTCATCTATAGTCAAAATGCTCCCATGTGCTACTTCCCAAGCAAAAAAAGTTACCCTTGGCGGTGCATTGAGTTTCGAGATTTGTTTGAATGGGAAATTTTCTGCATTTGTTTCCTTCTTGATCAAAAAGTCATAAGAAGTCCCAAGAATGAACTGTCCAGTGGCATTGAGAGTCCAAACAGGTTGATCCTTTTCTTCATTAAGCGAAATAAGATTCAAAGTACTTAGTAATAATCCATATTCGTTTACCTTCCAGTCATTAAGATGGTGGAAAACCTCCACATGCCACTCTGTCCTATCCTCCTCTCCAGTAAACATGCCCTTAACAGTTCCTCATGAGAAATGTGATAGTAGATTTGTTATTCTCATTTAGAAAGTTTATTAAATACCATGTTTCTTTAACCAAGAGACTTTTTGATGGGTTCGTTGTTTTTGGCTTGTAGTTGATGGAAGATTCAATGATAAAGCTCGATAGAATCTGTAGGGAGGCCAATGTCATGTTGGTATTTGCTCGCTCCTATGGTCTTACTGGTCTTGTTCGCATCAGTGTGAAGGTAATGACTTGTGATTTACTAAACTCTAGTGCGATATCTAATTCTCTATCATTGCATTTAGACCTTCCTTGTCTTTAATAATTTTTATTTTTCTATAAAAATGACTTGCGAGTTACTGGTTGAAGTTGTCTGCTAATAAGCTGTTGTTTAAATGGATGAAAGGACTTGGAGTCATGATCTAGTGAGTAGGATCCACCATAACTTCATGCCTGTTGAGTTTATGATTGTATTCACCTCGCTTATTTATCTTTGTCTAAGAGCAAATGAATACTGCAATTCTGCAAGGACATTCTATGGAGATTCTTAAAAATAGTCCAGGGGAAAAGGAGACAAAAGGGTTAAAATTACTGCTGGATTTGGAGAAATTATTACTTGAGTTCTGCTGAATTCAATTTTATTGCTTCTGTTAGGAACATACAGTCATTGAGTCAAAGCCTGATCATTTTCTAGAGGACCTTCGGTTAAATAACCCATGGCCTGAACTCCGGAGGTACAACTACTTTTTTCCACAATTTTCAGTTTACTCACTCACACATCTAGGAATTGTTAAGTGGCTCCTGACTCGTAGAAACTAGTGGAGTTTAAATCACTATTACCGTGATCATTATTGTTGCTCTCATTATTGGTATAATTGTTTATTGGTGTCCATTTATGTTAGAAAATATTTATTATCTTGATTTTTTGGTTTTATTTAGTAGTACGAGTATGGTTTGCTGTATACAGTTTTGACTGCATTTATTCTATAATAGATTTGCAGACAGTATTGACTTAAACGTAACTGATCCTATCGCCCATAAGCACACACCTTATGTGGTCATTCTTGTGAAAATGGCTGAAGAGTGGACCAAAAACCACAGCGGTAGCCTTCCATCTACCAGGGAAGAGAAAAAGGAATTCAAGGTTTATATACTTAATCAAGATATCTTTTTTAAATTTGTTTATTCTATTATTCTTTAATTTCATTTGGTTGGGGTCTTGAACCTTTCTAGGATCTTCTTAAGGCCAAGATGATTGCTATGGATGAGGACAACTATAAAGAAGCTATTGAGGCATCCTTTAAAGTCTTTGGTTCTAAAGGAATTAGTAAGTTATAACTTCTTCAGAACCATGGGCCAAGTTTCTGCAAAAAGAATATGTTTTTCTCCTATAAATTTGTTGAATATTGTTTTTAGATTTACAAATGCACTGTAATTTGGTATGTATATGGGGATAGGGTTTGAATTTTCTACGTCAGCTGGGTTTACGTTGATGAATAAATTTGAGCTGTTCAAGCTATAAAAATTTGACCTTGAGATATTTCTTTAGAAATCATGACCACTGAAACAAATTCAACAGAGACTAGAGAGACTCGCCTCCCCATGAGAAGATTCTTTACTCTTTCTTAGCTCTTATATATCTGAGATTGGCCATAAAAGTTATTGAAATAAAAAATGAAATTCAAACATCATATCTAGCTGATGTAGATTATTGCTTACTCTCTTGCACTTTCACGCAGGTTCAGAGCTGCAACAGATAATCAATGACAGTTGTGCTGAAGTTGATTCTAATTCATCAGATTTTTGGGTTATGGTGGCAGCTTTGAAGGTTAGCGATTGAAAAGTCATCCTTCAGCATAGAATTTGTTAACTTCACTGTTTCAGATCGTCCTATATTTATTCCTCTCAATGGTAAAACTAGTCTATTGTATGACTAGACTCACAAGAAGAATTGTTATCCATTGGAATGGGGTTTCTAAAGATGATTAAAGAAACCGGGTCATTATGCCTAACAATGTTGTTTGATGTCTTCTTTGATTAAGTGTTGTGTTTTATTTTGTAACTGATTCCTTATTCCCTTTATTGAAAGAAGTAATCTGAGTTGACTCTTTGTTAGTGTCATCTCCTGCTGCATTAGTATGTGCTAACATGCAAGATGCTGGCTGTTTTTTGGGATTTTAGTTACTGTGACCTGGAAAATTTTACTTTACTAAATTGCCCTCCTTGTGAGCTTGCCCATTGATAAATTTTGTCCTCTCTCATGCTACAAGTTTTCATGAGCTCCCCATTATTTTACTTCTACTAATTGTGCACTTCCCAGGAGTTCATTTCAAATGAAGGTGGTGGGGAGGCACCCCTTGAAGGCACCATACCAGATATGACATCTTCAACTGAGTCAGTTTTCATGTCTGCATGTTATTTTATACTTTAAAATTGAAAAATGATTGAAGATTAAAACTGTTATCAGCTCTTGTGCAGGCTCTATGTAAACTTGCAGACAATCTATCAGGCTAAAGCAGAGGCTGATTTTCTTGTGATTGAGAAACATGTTAGGAATATTCTGAAAAAAATTGGTAGAAACCCAGATAGCATAAAAAAGTCAACTGTAAAGAGCTTCTGCAAAAATGCTAGAAAAATAAAAGTAAGTTCAGTTACTTGCCTCACTATTTATTGCTGAACAGTTGACTGGTTGTACCCCCATGCTGGCGTTAGGTAGAAGTTTCTTATTATGTGTCACTTGCAGTTCAAAGCATGTTATCTGTTTTCTTCTGAGAAAGCTGCAATGTAGGCTAAAAGAAACTTTAAGTAGGTTTTTTGTCAAATGCCACATAGAAAAAGTTAGTATTATCAAATGCATAGGTTAGATTGCCTGTCGCCTTGGTCTTATAATGATTGAGATTTCTACTATTACGTCTATTTAAATTGTAGGACATCTACACTCAAATATTCTTGCATAAATCGGGTTCTCCAAAGAAAAACTCTTTTTTTTTCTCTAGTTATGGGTATCATTATGCTAATTGTTTATCTTTTTCCCCGGTTATTCATAGGTGTTTTGTTCTTCATAGACACATTCAGTACAAGTTATGAATGATACCCACACTAGCAAATTAATTAAATCAACTAGATTATGCATACTGTGATGATAGATTCAGATTGAGCATTGTAGAAATATTGCAGTAATTGATTTAAAGAAATAAGCTATAAGCTGGCTGATATTTTAACTCCTCCAAGGCCTTATATTTAGATATTCTGTACATTATGCTTAAAGCTCACCTCATCCCTTGCAGATTTGCAGGTATCGCCTTATTGAGGATGAGTATAATAATCCTTTCCTACCACAGTTACAAAAGTATTTGACCGATGAGGATTACAGGTGACTGACTTGTCTTTTTACTAGCTTTCTATGTGCACTAAGTTTTCTTAAATTATTTAAATATATTTTTAAATAATTAAATATGTATTTACTAATTCAAATTTTTTATATCTTTTAACTGTGATAGATTGTATTATAATGATCGTAGGACAATTATATTAATTTTTAAAAAAGAAAAATACAATATATTTAAAAGCACTAAGGGGGTGCATAACCCAAATGCACAAAGTATTTACCATTCAAACAGGATATCACTAAATCATCCAAATTCTCACTTGAAAGAAATGGGTGACCCCTTACAAAGGCTTAGGATTTGGAACCAAAAATCTTTAAATCTATCAATATTAAGTCTCGTCTCCTCAAAGGTCCTATTACTCTTTCCAAATGACACAAAAGGCAGCCAAAGGGATTAGTCATAATCTTTTCTTTTTTGATTAAAAAATGTGCTACTATTCATAAAGCACTAAAGGGGTGCAACACATATACAAAAACTTACAAGTTTAACAAAACATCAGTAAGTTCCCCCAAATTCTCACTTAAATACAAAAGTTGAGCCTTAATCAAAATATTCAGGATATGCAACCAACAATCCTTAATACTGTCAAAGTTGTCTCCTAACCCCTCTAAAGTCCTTCTATTCCTCTCTTTCCAAAATACTCAGAGATAAGTCTTAATCTCTTATCATCTTGGATGCCTCTCCAAGTCTGTAATTCCTCTATTGGACCTGCTATCGCCCAAGTCACACCCAAGAAGCCATAAGCTAACATCCAAATTCAATATGCATTTGGACACCACAGAAGGACGTGCTCACATGATTTTGCAGCACTCTTTTGTGAGTAGCATCGTTCACTAAAATCTTTCTCCTCTTAATCAGCTTCTCGAGAAACAGAATACTTTCTCACACTGCTTCCCAGGTGAAAAAAGCTACCCTAGGAGTTGCTCTAACCTTCCCAATCAAGTTGGCCGGAAGATTTTCATGGGACAAGCCCCATTCAGATGCCAATAAAATGACTTCACTGGGAAAAACATCTGAAGAATCCAGCTCCGAAATTGGCTGATCTATATGCATGTGTCACATTTGTTATTGAGAGATCTCAACAGTCTCAAGTCCTCATGGATCTTCCAGTCATAACCAACTCAATTGACCACACATTCCCACTAGAGCCAAGAATAAACTCCTTAACAGTGATATTTTTGTTGCGAGCTAAGGCAAAGATACTGGGAAATTGATTAATCAAGGCCTCTCCTCAAACTACTCATCCCTTTAGAAGCTCACTCATTCTCCAGAAGGGTAATTATATTAAATATTAGATAATTGTGATGATGTTATAAAAGGTAAAATATAAAGCAATGTTGAGAAGTTTTTAAAGTTAGATTATTATTAAAACAATTTGGTCTCTAATCCTAGGACATGTTGTCTATAGGTGGGATGATTTTGGAAAAGTTTTTGATCTATTAGACATGTAAATTTTTGTACAGGGGCAGTATCCCCTTGGTGCCTTATACATAATATACTTCTTTTTATCTCAATATATATATATATATATATATAATGAAAACAATTTAACATAGTGGACACAAATTTTTAACATTGCAAAGCTAAAAATCTTCATAAATTGATTTTTTTAGTAGATCATTCAAAGATGATATCAGATATCATGCTTTCTCATCCCTATACCATAACAGCATAAACTTTATTAGCATCAGTCCTATGGAAAGAAAAGAAGTAATCATCCTTTCCCAATGCTTGCCCAGAATTTTTATAGATTTAAATGTCATCAAAACAAAAATTTAGATTAAAACCACATGATGTGATAATTACTATATCTGGAATAACTACAGAATGAAAAATAACTAGTAGTTGTAAACAACTTGAAAGAAAAACATGTTCGTTAGTTTAAGTGATAGGTTCTCAAACTCAATAACTATGCCCATGCTGCAGAGAGTCAAATCTGAAATAAACCTTGTTGCTCTTCTTTCTTTCCTTGCGGGGATATAACTTTATGCAATACTTTCATTAAATGAAAATTTAAAATTATCTCAGAGATGATGTTTACCTCTATGTGAAAGGGTTACTGATATTTTCTCAGGATACCAGAGCCAGGCCCTTATCTTGCTATTTAACACTACTTTATTGTTTTTTTAATGTTTACATTGGCATGAAAATCTTTTACCAAGTACACATTCTTTTCTTCAATCAATAATTTAAATTGATTATGGAAGAATATAGTATATATGCACAAACATTAATGCAAATGTCACTATATTGACATACATGCGTTCTTTTAAATAGACATTAGAAGATTGCTAATTAACATTAAAATCATTTTGTTGCCACATGTCATCATTATATGAAGCAAATGTCAGTATATTAACATACATGCTAAGTGTATATATATGTATATATGTATGTATGAATGTTTGTTTGAAACAAACCAACTTTTTTATGTCATTAAAACATTCAATAGGCTAAGAAACTTTTACTATTTACGCATGCATGCCCAGCCGTAGGTGTGATGTTATGTGATTGAAAACTGTATAGTCAATGAAAACTTGCTGATAGCCATGAATAGCACAAAAAAATGTTTTAAATAGAAATTTGATTTGATGAACTCGATATAGACACAAGAGGCCTTCTAGTCCAACATCTTCCAAACTGTTTACTTTTTCAGTAATCTCTTGTTTTTAACTTTTTCTTTTTGATAACTGACACCAAAGTGAGGTGGAAAAATGAGATGAACATTCTAGCTCGGTACCTGTCAATATACTGAAATGGATGACCGTAGATGCTAACAGTCAAATGAACATTTATAAAAATAAAGCTAATTCAGTATGCGACTGTGGTACTAATTAAAGTTGGGAAGTTTAATATCTGCCAAAATAATGTTCATCTGGCTTTAATTTAGCATAGGGCAATTGGATTAAAGCTATGAATCTGTGATGTTTACTCTCTAGATTTCCTGTTTCTGTCTTGCAGTATTGCTATGGGTTTCTACATTCTTCTTAGAGCTGTTGATAGATTTGCTGCTAATTACAACAGTTTTCCTGGCCAGTTTGACGGGTAATAACTCAAAACTTGTTAAACCTGTTCCTTAAAATTTTTCATGGAGCTTATAGGCAAGTTCTGCATATTATTTTTGAAATGTGATGTGGACAAAGGAATTCATATTGCTTTGATTTAATCCTAATAGACTTTAACTGGAAATTATAATCAGGAAATAACAATGAAGGCTAATAAAGGTTTAATGTATGAATAAAATCATAATACTACTTAACTCCTAATCTTACCCATATTATTACAATAAATTGTAGATTAGCGAATACAATTCCCAATCTATTTAGAAGAGATAAGTTATCAAACTTATTCTACATCAAAATGTATCCCAGAGGAATGGACGAGGACATATCTCGATTGAAAACTACAGCTGTTGGTCTTCTCAGTGATTTGGGTTGCAATGGCTCTACGCTAACTGAGGATCTTATCAATGAGATGTGTCGATTTGGTGCTGCGGAGCTTCATGCCGTTGCTGCCTTCATTGGAGGAATTGCATCACAAGAAGTAATTAAGGTTTGCTATTTCTTTCCTTATTTTTAACTATATTCAGGCTGGAGTTTTCCTCTCACCAGTGTTCTTATGGTGGTTCACACATTAAGCCACGTTCTGTAACTGTGCTAGTTTTTGCTTTGAAAGTGACTGTTAAGGATGAAAACAAAGACATGGAAGTTGCACATCTGGATATCTGATTGCCAACATAAAATTGAGAAAATGTTTTGTAAACTGTAGCTCATGCATTAAGGATTGTGAAATGATACTCAGATATGAGTGCTATAAGAAAATAGAAAAAGATTCAACAAGTATGATACAGTACATTCTTGTGTGGTGTCAGTGGGGGAGTTGTGTGGATACAGAGAGCGTAGTTATTTATCCGTATCTTTATCAAGAATGGTTTTATGTTTTGTTTTATCTTTGGTTCTCACTTAATTAACCCTTAAATGCGGCTAAATATCAAAGTTTCTGTTTCTACAGCTCATAACAAAACAGTTTGTTCCTATGTCGGCTACTTACATCTTCAATGGCATTGATCACAAGTCTCAACTGTTGACGCTGTAGAAGATTTGAGCTTGGTGGGCATCCATCATATGTTCAGATGCAAATAGCTGGTGACAGTACCCATTCACCTCCTCTTTAGAGCCAGATCCTCATGCTGCTGGATGGAGTTGTCAATTCTTTTGCAGGTTCAACATTTTTCGCGAATTTAGAGATTGAGGTATGTTTTGCATCGTTATGGAATAGCGGAATCGAGATTGCTTAACACTATAGTTCTTATGCTGCATTTATATGGAAAATTAGGGATTGCAAAATGAAGGGAATTACAACAAAGAGTGTTGATGAGAGAGTAAATTAAGTTATAGGACAGCTTTTTCTTTTCTTTTTTGGGAGGAAAAGATACCAACGATAGTTTTATTATTAAACTCCTCTGATCACCCATATTGGCTGAACTTCTCTCCTGTAGAACTTTGTTTGTTGTCAGTTGCTTTTTCGTCATACTGAGAAGACTGAAGATTCTCATGTCAATTTTACCCTTTCAACTTCTGTATCAGGGGAACATGTAATGTTAAGGTTGCTTCTATCTTATTGAGATTTCCAATCAGCAAGCCTTTCGTCAAATTTGTAATAATCTTTTGAGAATCTTACCTAATGCTTTTGTATTTACTAGCAAAAAATGATAATGGAGTTGATAGTAGAGGATTTAAATGTGTTGGTATATAACCCACACTTACCTTGACTCTGCATTGAGAACTCTGGTTCACTGAAAAAAATTATGTGATAATCATAGGGAATAAGCATTAGTTGACGGTAGAACATGTATCAGTTGGCCGTCACTTGGTCATATGTTTCTTCAAATAATGTGATAATTACTAATACTCGACAACGTGACAATTAATTACCGAATAATATTCATTGTTAATTGAGATAAACTTATTTTGAATTAATTAAAATTGTATCAAAAGTAATTTAAACAAAAATAAATATCACATTGAGCTTTCAAAAAAGAAATGCTAATCTTTCTCATAATAAGAAAATTGGATTATAAATTGATAAAAAGATTTAAAAGGACATTTTTTGATAGTGTAAATTAACGCTTGTCTGTTACATTTATAAAGGTAAAAACAAAAAAATTGAAGAGGACTTTGGTGGATTGCCTTAAAACATTTTTCTCTATCAAGTCCCAAAAGAGGTGTTTGGATTGACATTAATACATACCCTCCTTCTATGTTCATCACATCTGAAAAATAATAAAAACAACTAATCCTATGCAAGACATTAGCAAAGCAACGATCTGGATCTTCCATAGCCTTCTCCAAATGCCATTGACTAGCTCTTAGCAACAGAGACTTTCTTTGCAGGATTGTATACACTGAATTCTCCAAAATCTCTTTTCCCACTGGCAAAAACAGTGTTCATAATCAAATCCTTGACAAAAAGAAAAAAGAAACAAATTTCAGCTGCTATATATTTTTGACAGAAATTTTCTTTTCTGGGTTAAAAGTTTTCAAACTATTATCTTTTCTAGATTTTTCTCTTAATTTTGGTTGGTTTAGTTTCAAATTTTCACGTGCTCATATTCAAAAGTTTGGTCATGGACAAATAATCTCGAAAAACCTAAAAATTCTGTTTAACTTTAAAAGAATAGTAAATTATATGATCCTGGATTGTCACAACAATATCAAATCTTTGAATTGTAATAACACCAAAGCATAGGAAGTGAACTCTACTTTCCCCTTGACTGTAATTATGAACAAAATAATAAGAATTGATGCATGGCATTACTAATGCATATCAAGCAAACACAAGCTTAGCCAAGGAGACGCATACCTGTGCTTCACATCCCAGCCAGCGGGCAAAAAACGAGGATGAATAGCTTCCACAAAAACTTGCCTCCATTTTTGACAGAACTGACGAATACCTTCCTCTCCATATTCCTTTAATAAATAATCCACAACTTGCTTCCCATGCGGTCCATGTCCAAGTAATGACAGTTTGGAATTATGTTTAGGCAGAGGACTTTCACTGACTCGATGATTGATAAAGTCAGTTTCTCCATTTTGCAGACTTCCGTTCTCACAGTTACCGTCTGCATCTTTTGTACTCAAACCCTCATGACCATTTGAGTTCCTTTCGTTGCTAGTATTAGTGTAGGCTACTCCATTGTTCCCTTGTTCCGAACACGTGGAGGGATCACTTATGTCATTATCTGGTCTCGCTAAAATATCTTGATCTTGATCTTCCTCTCTTGGAAGAGTTTTTGCTTCAGCAGCATGTTTACTGACCAGAAAATCATCTTTTGATGTGCCGGCAGAATGTTTAAGTGACAATCCTTTTTTCTTCTCAAGTCTTCTTTTTTCATGAGGACTCATGCCAACAAGCAAAGCTCTCTCTAAATCTTCCTCAGATATCTGTCTTCCCCCGTAATACTTCATAACAGTCTGCAGAAACAAGAAAATATGAATCTTGATGACTATAAATGGGAAAATGCCTAAAGAACATGCAGTTCAGGATTCTCAAGGAACAATGAGAAGATGAAATGATTGTAAAAGTAAGCAGTGCTTAATGCAAGAGGGAACAGTTCTTATTGATTAAATGTTATATTGGTAATGCAGTTCAGGATTCTCAGATGTCAATTTCATATTGAAAAAAACTAGTCATTATTTTCATGATCTCTCACTTGACATATAAGATTACAAATCTATTGTGGTAAAACTAAGGATATGAGTAAAATTGGTTCAATTAGCTAACAAATACGTAATATATAACAGAATTGTACGTACCAAATAATTAAAATCTAATAATAGGATAAATTTACACCAAATAGATCATATATGTAAAACCCAGGCTACAAACTAAGCAAAGCTAGTAATAGCTTTCAGACCTGTGTCAGTTCTTCCCGACGGTAAGATGGCATTCTAGGTCCATGCCGCAAAAGAGCCATAGCAGCTGTTCTTAACTGTAAAGGAGATACACCTGCCTCTTCAATGTTTGCCACTGATTCTGATGACTCAGGAGATATAATTGGGGCCTGTTTTGAATCTACCACTTTCTGAACAAAGAGCGGAATTCCAAACTCTGCAGAAATTTGTCTTTTGTACTTCTCAGCAGCAGAATGAGCAATTTCATGACAATCGACACATAGTAAGACAATATCATGAGATCTGTGGCTTTTCAGGTGCTCAGGGAAGTGAACTCTGTAGCATGAAGGGATTATACGATAACGAATGTAGTGATTTCCTTCACCACAACCAACACATATATTTTTCTTACTTTGGATGTAAAAATCATTACCCTCATCTTCTGGACGGCCTTTAGGCTCAAATAGAAGCATTATTGCAGGTGGATCCTCTTCAACAAGCTTTGCTAGATCTCGATGAAGATACCTACACCATAGTTACATAGTGATGACAGAATGCAATTCACTGATGAAATGAATATGAAAAACAAAATTAGTACACTAACCATTCAAGCTTTCTTCGGTCACAGTAACAAAGCAACCGCCCATCATTTGCATAAATCCGACAATTATGATAAACTGGAGATTTGCAGGAAAATCTTTTAACGAATAGCTCTCTTGAGGCTTTCCGAGAAACATGCTTTGGATTTTTAACCCCATTTTGCTTGGAAATTAGACTATTGGTTAGCTTCAGGTTGCAATTAATCAGCAAAGCATAATTGAACACAGACAATGGACAAGTCCCATTTGGACCCAGGCATCGTTGAAGAATCTTCGGAAGAATATCATCGAGTTTGCCAGACTTGTCCTGGATTAGTTGACAGACATCGTCCAAATGACTACAAACAACAGCAGATGGAGAAGAAAGCAACGAACTGGAATTTAAAGAATCAGCAATCAAGTCAGCTTGAGCTATGGTGCTGTAAATATCTGTTGGAGTTGCTGGATCTCTATTCGCAAGAGCAATGATTGCCTGATCTGATAATACATATCTCAAGCTTTCATCATGAACACGGGCCTGGCATGAAACACACATTAAATGCAAAGTCTAGATCATTTTATATCTACAACTTCCAATTGGAGAGATCAATGATCAGAAATACTATGTTTGCAGCATCAGAAAATAATAAAGCAACAACTTGAAAGTACAGGGAATGCCAGAATTGTTAAAATAAAAATAAGAAAATTCCAATAACAGCACTCAAATAGAAATATAACAAGAAGATGCTGCAGAGTTTTTGAGACGCTGTTAGGAAATCAAGCTTCTATAGCCATACAGATATGGAAACTATGAGCTGAGATTCTTTATTAAAGAGTTATTTGCTCATTAAACGAGCAGTAAATATTCAATCAAGAATAAGTTATTCACAAGCAATGGAGTCTTACGAAAATAAATAGTTCACGAAATTTTATGTATGCACAATATATAACTTTTGTGCATATGAAGGCATAAAATAGAACAGCTAGTTCGATTTCTATAGTGCAGAACTATATTCAAATTTACGAACATCTCTGAGTTAGGAAAATTTTCCTAGAACTGGAAGATACTTCTTCACACACATAGTTCCTTTCTCCATGAAGAAGAGTGTTAATCACAAAGCTACAAAACTTATTCTCAAATTGGTAGCTAATTGAAAAGTATCACTAACCATTAAATCTCTCCATGCACATAGTCTTCTTACAGCATCCTGAAACTGAATTGCAAATACATCACCAAAAATGTTAAGAAGTTACAGATGCCAATGTATAAGAACATATAGACAGACGTATACCTGGGTTTCACAAGAAACTGATGAAACACCTCCCGGACCATTTATCTGCCGAGATAATATTGATGATGCAGCTGCATCCCCAGGAAAAGCTTCTACTTCTTTAGTATAAAGTTGCAAACATATCATGTTTGACCGCTGACTAGCCTCGAGAAGAAAATGGAATTTGTCATCGGAGCAAGATGAATTTTCTGATACGGTAATATATTTAGCATTTGATGCTATGGAGGATAGTACATAAAAGGTTCATAAGAATAGTCAGCATTTAAAATTCTGGCCCAATGCAATCAGACTGAATATTTTTTGCCATGAGTTAAAAGTTTTCCCCAATTGACTTATGTATCTGCTTTCCAGTCAGCATCTTTAAAAACATTGCATTTCAGAAGCCTGTCATCTGGCATTCTTGCATGATCTTCTTCCCAAATTCTCACTAAGACCCAGGGCTGATATTTATTGGTTGCAGGTGCAACTATTTAATAATACACTGCGAGTTTTACTTTTTCTATTTTTGTTTAGTAAACAAGATAAATTTTCAATAGACAAACAGAAAAAGGTAGAATGCATACCATTGCCCCTCTTTTTGAGTTCAAAAATTAAACTGTGCGCGATGTACAGTAGATAGTGCGCATCAGTTCTAGCATATTGCACCATATCTGTTGGCAAGGGACGTTGTCTCCAATCTTCACGCTGCAATAAAGTGTCAGGATGATTAACAAGAGATGTATTCTCAAAAAAGAAATTTTTGCATATACAGATGCATATAGACATAAGAGAGGTGGAACCAGAAGGAAGAGGATTACTGTAAATGGTGTCGAGTTGAGGCTAAAATACTGCCGGATTTGTAAGATTTTTAGGCCGCCAAGAAGCTGTCACTGTGCTATCTGCAACAACTGTGTTGAGAAATTCGATCACCATAGTCCATGGATTGGTCAATGCATTGCTTTGGTACTCGTGCACAATCAAAACTCATGTGAATAAATAACCAAAATCAACCAACAATCTTTGTCTCGCTGAAAATACTAATATTTGCAAAAATCTAAGTTTATATACATATCGAACAACTCTATCTATTAATATAGTTTTGGTTCAGAATCTAATATATTATTATAGATTGAAGCCTATCCATTAACTTATTTAAGATTTAAAATGGCTTAATGTATATATTTATCTTCGAGATGTATTTATGCACTAATTTACATTTACTGAAAGAGTTTTGGTATGTGCAATGCAGCGGAACTATCGATTCTTTCTGATGTTTGTACTGTCAGCTTTGGTTTTCTTCGTGTACGTACTCATATTTTCTTTCTGGAGGTTGCACCAGAGAATGTTGAGAACTGAGACTGGATTCTCTGACGTGCTAAGGAACTCTCCTGAAACATTAGCACTGGTTTTATTCACTTCTGCAGCCATTTGGTTTCTCGCAGGTCTTGCAATCTTCCATTTCTATCTGATTGCCATCAATCAGGTTGGTTTTCCAGTAATTCTGTTCTGTTGTACTGAACTTACCAAAGACAAGAAATTTTAAGTAAAGGAAAACAATTGCTTATATAAGAACGCAACAACGGTTTAACTAATTAATCTATTAATTCGTACTTTCAGTTTGGTTTTGCTTCCTATTAAAGTTTTATCTCTTCTTGGCTTCGTGTTCAATGCAGACATCTTATGAAAATTTCAGGCAGCTGTATGTGGGTTCAGGAAATCCATATGATAGAGGAATAATAAGCAACATTAAGGAGGTTATGTTCGTCCCCATGTCGCCTTCCAAGGTTGATTTTAGAGCTCAAGTTACAGAAAGATCACAAGTGTCAGTCTGAGTAACCAGTGGTTATGAAGATTTTATATATACACACATTAATTTATATTATGTCAACTTCTTAGTATAGAAAATTATCCAATTTATTATTCTTATTATACAATATTTTTCTTATTTATAAATTTCCTATGGAGCTAAATCCAAGAAGTACCATTTTGGTCCTCCAAACTTTAGTTCATAATACATTTGTAAATTTAACTTCAAAAATTAATTTTAAATGAAAAAAAAAAAAGGTAATCCATGATGAGCATTGTTTGAGAATCCTAAAGAAATCATTTCTCAAATAACATCCACATGATTTTCTTTTTTTCTCTTTAGAAATATTCACTTTCAGATTTTTCCTTTTTTTAAAAAAAGAAAATGATAAAGAAGACTTCTTCATTGGAGGAGGCAAAAGAAGGAAATGAAAAGAGGGAGATTGAGAGGAAGGAATGAGTTTGATTTAGAAAATGGCAGTGCAGACACCACATGAAGCATGTGGTGATGGACAGAAAGATGGAGATGGGTAGTAGCTGGACATGGCCATCAATGTCTGCATTTATATATGGAGCCCCCATTATACGCATGAATTTATATCTATATATTATGTGCATGCACGTATATATATGATCGTATTCCCTAAAATACATAATTGAAAGCAGGTGATTCCATTAGGGGAGGGGAGAAGTGTTCCCATTCCATCATCTTCCACCAAATCAGACCAGCTGGGGCCTAACCTAAACCATAAATTATGGCATGGAATCAACAACAGCCCACTCCTCAGATTTTTGGGAAACCCATCACATCATCCATTTTATTGCTCGATTTAGATTTAATCTTATTAAATCTTATCACGTTCAGAAAATATGTTGTTATATTAAATAAATAATTTAAGTATATGTATGTATGTATGTATGTATGTATGTATGTATATATATTGGGCTTGGGTATTTTACCTCTTAGAGAATTAACTTGTTGCAGAAACAGACATTTAATAGTTTAGTTGAGTAATTTGAAGTATGTATTTATGAATCTGATTGCTACCCATCAAATTTTATGGGCAGTGGAGGCTGACCAAAAGCAAAAAAGGAAATTGCTTCTTTCTTTTTTTTATATATCTCTGGTTTTATTATTTATTTTATATAATATGTCTTTATAATTATTTTACATAAACTGATTAAATTTTTATTCGATAATAAATTAAAAACCCAAATGGATTAAAAATTTAAAATTTAAAATTTAAGCAAAATAATGCTCGGCCATGTCTGGTTTAGAAGGTGAGTTTGAAAAAGGCAGTTCACCAACAAGCAAGTTTGGTCTCGTGCAATGGCAGCTTTTGGGTTGGCAGGGAAGCAAGAGATGGATGTCGTGAAATGACGGCAACTCAATCTTGCAAGCTTACTAACCAACTAATCTCTGCCGTCAATTATTATTATTATTATTATTATTTTGTTTTCAAACCCTTTTAATTAAGAAAATAAATTTCATATTTTTAATGAAAATAAAATATTATAAGACCCTTCACGTTAATATTATTGATAAATTTATGTAGGATGTTATTTATTGATTAATTCTTTGTTTAAATGTATACTCTTTTTTTTTTTTAAATAAATAAATAAATTTAATTGTTAGAAATTATCGATAAATAAGTTTAATAGCTTTAATTATCAAACTAAATCTTAATTTAAGTATAAATCAACTTTCTTTAAACTCCACCTAATTCAAATTTGAATTTATAAACTCTTTCGTTAACAAACTTTTTCAAAATGGAATTATATAGTTTACTTGATTGACTTTTTTTTAATGTCATTATATACATTTTTATTTTATTTTATTTTATATTGTAAGCCATATTTTTCATATTAAACAATTTATTTTACAATAAAGAGTGCATAGTCCTAAAAAATTGAATGATACACCCTTTATAAAGAGAATAAGGGTAAACCATTAAACTATTAAAAATTAGTAAATTTCCTTTTTTGAATTATGTTAAGTATATACATATTACCTAATTAATATAATCTTTTGATTAGTAAAAAGAAAAACTGAAATTTAAAATTAAATTTTATGGTATAATTTGGTGTAACAAGAATAGCAAATAATTAAATGCAGGAATTGATGAAACATGGGACATACAACTAGATTACGTGGTAATTAAATGGGAAATTAGTTGTGTCATGCCACCATTGTAGTGACCTCGAAAATCCAAAAGAAAATATATAATAATTTTAGTGCGGAAGCGAAATAAAATGTTAAGGTTTACATTCCTTACACCATAACAAGTACTGAACAACATTATAGAATGAATTCTCTGAAATAAACAAAAGAAATAAGAAAAATAATAGAAAATAGAAAGTATCTAGCATCTACTCCCAATCTTCTTAAGGATTGAGATATGGAATTAGGTCCTCTTGATCTGAAATGGTTAAATAAAGGATGAACTACACTAGTACAGTAAGGATATCACATTATATCACCGGCACAGAAGTAAAGGTTAGTATAAAATCAAAACAAACAATGGAGTACTAAATTTAGCAAATTTGTTTATCAATCATAAAATCATTTACCGTAGTGGAATTTATGAAAACATCCTATAGAGACAATAATATCATACAGATCATAACTTCATAAACACCCAGTAACATATAACACGTCATAAATTCATATCCATTAATAATAAACTAAATCATAACCGTTTCTCATTTCATCAGCCTACTAGTATCCATGGGGGTTCATAGGGATGCCCCCTCTACACCTAAAATATTTTCCTTAATAATCTCAATTACAGGGTCGTCCCCATACCCCGTCCGGTATGAGCACCAAATTACCAAGTCTCCATACTCCGTCCGGTATGAGACAACGTTCACGGTAGGATTTCCTATGTACCCGGTCCGTCCACCATCTCCTAGGATATTTAGTAAGACTGTCATTTCATCTGTTTATTTGATCAAACCTTTTTTCTGTTTTCCTTTAGTCTCCATTACCAAATCAAATATAATCACATAAACAAATAAATATGCATTCGGCAATGCAATCATATCTCAAATTCCAATCAAACAGTGATCAAGTAAGGCAGTAATACATCTATTTAAACCATAAAATAGATAAATCAGATACTATCATACTTTTATACTATAAAATAAATCAACAGATAACAATATCCGGTTCGGGCTCCATTAGCAATCCGTAATTAGTTATGCACATCTATTTAATTTGTAAAAAATACTGTATTATTATTTATTTAAATTTTAATTTTATGATAGGGAATAGGGTGAGGGATCCTTACTCGATTTAACGTAGAAAATCTAAATAGTTTACTGCGCCTACGGGCGATTTCTTGGTTCCCTGAATTTTTTTCGGGAACTGAAACGCGCTTATAGTACGTACAAATATTCTAAATAAATTGAAAATCAATCACAGGGCCCGCTCGATCAATTTTAAAAATCCGGCACGGCGGCTACGCCGTGCTACGGCGACGACGCTGTCACCCACAGTGGCGGTCTGCCTCAGGTCGGTTGTTTTTGGCCGAATTTGATCAATTTTACATCGATTCCTACGAGCACACACGCTAAAGGGCTTCGGTGTGCCGAAAAAATATGAAAAACCAAAACTCATTGGTGGCGGGGCTCTTCGGTGCGGTAGCTCCTCTGGCTCACGTTACGGTTGGGTGTTTCGTTTCGGTCAACCTGTAGAGAAGAAAACAGTGATCACAACGGTGAAAAAATTACAGAAAACAGGAATTGGGAAGGGCCTCATTAGAGGCGATTTGTGAAATTCTCTGCGGCGGTGCCGCCGGGTTTCATCAGTGTTTTTCGACCAATTGGCCAGTTTTTTACTCTTATTTAGCCATAGGTGGGCTTAAAATTGAATTTCATGCAAAAAAAGAAATTTTTACATTTTTTGGCGGTCGAAAAGGGTTCTAGTGTGGTAGCGGGTGGCGGCGGTCGGCTCTCTGGCGGTTGAGTTGTCTTCTCTAGCGAGGGGTTCTGACGGCTAGGGTTAGGGTTTGGGTGCAAATATATTTATTTATACCTATCCACTTTTGATATAGGTCGTTCATCGCGTTTGATCTAGTCCTTCCGATCGCGATTAAATAGGAGTGAATCTAGGCTGTTCATCGCGATCCAATTTGGGCTGTCCATCGCGATTCACTCTGGGCCATCCGTGTGCGTGCGAACGGAACTCAATCGTTCGATTGCGCACACGTGGATTGCCCACGCTCCCCCCGTGTGGCCTCCC